GGTCCCCTTCTCACATGCATACATTCTAGGGCCGATATAGACAGAAATTAATTACCAACGTGTATTTGGAGTGCGAAACTAAATCACTGTACCCCGAGGAATCCTATGTAAGTGAAAAAGTGAATTCCATGTAGATAGTGTCCTGTCCAGAATTTAAACCAAGGTCCAGAATTTCGATAATTTCCTTAAAGCGGAGTTCCACTCGACCTATCAAAAAATAAAACTCAGCAGCTACAAAATATGTAGCTGCTGACTTTTAAAAAACAGCCACTTACCTGTCCCTCGGTCCCGTGGTGTGTCCCCCGCAGCTCGTTTCAAGGGCCGTCCTGTATTCCAGGAGGCCGGCATCTTCAGTGTGGGCACCCGGCTGTGATAGCTTGTGGCTTCACAGCCTGGTACCCACTGCACATGTACGAGTAGCGCTGCGCTTCATGAATGGTCCTGCAGTCATCTGGGACCTGTCACATGTCCCAAAAGACTACAGGGAGGGAGGACACCTTCCGCTTTCGATCGCCTAGGCGATTGGACTGGAAGTGGGAGCGGGTACCTGTCAAATTCGGGTATCCGCTGCCCAAAGGTGCCAATCATTAATGGGGAGCGGGGGAGCAGTCCTTAAAGTGGAACTTTCCCTTTTGAGTGGAGCTCCGCTTTAAAAAGTAATGTCACTTTTGTTGAGAAAAAACCCTTCCCCTCTGGGTGATCAATGTACATTGCAGGAATTTTAACAAACTTTGTTGCAGGTTCCTACCTTTTTGTAATTCTGAAGAATTGTTGTTTGTTTGTCTGTGTCCATGTGCAGAGTATATATGCCCTATTTTTATTTTTTCAACTGCCAGCCCACTGCCTGCATCATAATTGAGGCCTCTTGAGAGGAATACTGATGCAGGATGTTGTGATGTTTTCAGGAAGCTATGTATAGTACCCTTCTGACCTCTTCCACCAGTATAGCTGATCTGCTAGCGTTGCATAGAGAAGCACGGTTGATCTAGTGATGACATCACTGGATCTAAAATCAAGTATGTAATGAAAACAAAAAGGATTTATTTAAAAATGTCATTAGCATGTTGATGAACGGGGAAGAAGGAACCAGGGAAGGAAAAAGCTAAGCAGATCCAACTTCAGCTTTAAGGGGAGGAGCTTGCGGATGACGTCACGACATAGCGAACAATCAGCTTAGTGCTCAGCAGAGATACACGCAGCTCCAGGGCTCTCCTGACTGTGAGGTAATTTTTTATCTTACGTTATTGTTAATTTACCATGGTCTTGTGACTGGCTGGAGCATTTATCTTTGGTATTGGCTTTGCTGACGTGGATGATTACAGATATCTTGGGTCTGAGGACTTTTCAGTGGATGCTTGTTAAACTTGGTGCGGTCTGGCACCTGTCAAATGTGAGTGCATAAGTGTAAATCTATGTGAAAATAAAGCTTTTAAAGGGTAAACATTATGTTAGGTTTTTTGTTTATGAGAATTACTGCTGATCAAAAGGGTCTATTGGAGTGAGCGATTTGAAGTTACCTTTTATCAAGTTGATCTTCAGATTCTATACCCTTGGGACCAAAAATGCGGTTAGACCAAAGATTGTATGATGTGAGGTCACACTGCTGGAGGTGAGCAGATATTGGGTGGAGGAATAGCGCACCTATTTTGTGTTAGCTGCACCTGGTGGTCACAGGAAGAAGAATTAAGAAACTTTCTGCACTTTTTATTTTGGACTGTAGTATTGGTTTTGTTATTTTTAGTTCATGGTATTTTGTTTTCACTTTATTGTTTTAATATTATTGTGTAGCTCTGCACAGATACTATATATACATATATAACAGGGGCGGACTGACCATTCGAGTACTCGGGCACTGCCCGAGGGCCTGGGGTCAGTAGGGGGCCCCATGAAATGCCCCTGGTACCTATTATAGGCTTTTTTTTTCTTTGGGTGTGCTTTGAGTGTGGGCAAGGACACAAGGGCCCCATGATCCCCTATTGCCCGGGGGCCCCATGAGTTGTCAGTCCGCCCCTGATATATAATATAACTTTACATTTGCCCACTATTTGAGACATGGGTTTTGTGCACTAGCAACTACTGTTATAGTTATATATACATACAAATATTATTCATAGCAGCGCGTGAGTTTTTTTCACTTTTTTACAACTTCAGCTTTAGTTATTTGGCTTACATCTACTTTAAGGTTTAAGTTTTATAGCTTGCTAGGAAAATTCTTTTAAACCACAAATTATATAACAAAATCCGTATTCGTAGTATTAGGCTCCATGTACACAGGACGTTTGGAAAACACTTCTGAACGATGGAAACTGACTGCTGGAAAAGGTAAGTTCAAAAACATCCCTTTAGCTGCGTTTGCATACCACGTTTATGCGTGTTTATGTGCGTTTGTGTTTAAAAGCGTTTTTTAAAGAGAACATCAGGAGACCCTCCCAAATGCCCAGCATGCACTGAAAAGTGGTAAATTAATAACTATTTCAGACTGTTTTAGAGAAATACACACAGTAAACACACACAGTAAACAGTTAAACATTTACTATTTCAGACATTTTGAGAGAAATAGAGAGAGCAGAAGCAGAGAGAGCAGTATGTGTTGAGATTACCTGTCTTTCCTGGTTGTATTCACTATGGATCCCATCATGAGCATAATGCAGCACGTTCTATCAATTTTTTTCCTTCACGCTAAGGTGTCCTTTTATGACACAGAGAATAGCTGCGATTCAGAGGATCGCAGCTATTCTCTGGTCATTCACAGTTTATAACACTCAGGAGAACATGTTCAGCCCTTCACTGGAGATCTGTGTTCTCCCTCCAGATTCTCCAGCCCAGAGCTGGAAAATCGGAGGGACCACAAACTAAACAGAGAAAATTTACCTCTGCTTAGTAAACTGATCTTTTACTGTAATCTCGCGAGATTATAGTAAAATCAGCCGTTTTCCAGCGTTTGTGGACCGTTCTCCCTTCGTTTGGAGAACTGATCTACATATGCTTCATAAACGGCATTCACAGGAGAACTGTGTTCTCCGAGAATGCCGGAGAACTGAGCAGCGATCTATTACTGCTGGTTCATAAACGGACACCTAAACCTGGAACTGACTGCGCTGGTGTACCGGGAAAACGCTCCATTTGAATACATTTGGAAAACGGTCTTAAAAGCGCACAGATGCAAAGGAAATGCATATTTGGTGGGGAAAAAACTCACTGATGGTATAAAAAAAGGTATCAGGACAGCATTTGTGCCTTTAATAAGTCATATGGAACAGTTAAAAACCACGCTTCTAAACGGCTTATGGAGTAGAAATGCGGTTTACCCGCCGCGTTTACATCACCACATTCCGCAGCTTTACAAGTGTTTACAAGCATTGCTGGCATTTGAATGGAACAGTGCTGATAAATGCTGAATGCGAGTTAGCCCTCCGGCGGTTTAATCTACTCCTGAATGCAAGTTTAGTGCGTTAAAAAAAACAACTGTAAACTCAACTGCCTGTAAACGAATATGTGTATATGGACACATAGGAAATCATTAGGGAGAGTTCAGGGGCTGCTGAAAAAAACGCAGAAAAGCTCCTGAACGTCAGTTTATCAGCTGCAGTGTACATGAACCCTTACAATTATGTCTGGTTAGAAATATTCAGCTCCAGTAATTAAAAACTGAATTTGTTATTTGAAGAGTATATTATGCATTATAACATATATTTTCTGGTTCTGGACACTTCAGTGAGATGAAATCAACTTTTATAGTATACTTTTTAGAGTATACTTTTTGTGCCACACGTTGAGCCATAAATTCTGCATACTTTAAAACAGTTTGTGATGGGATGACGTGTGGATACTCAAACTTGATTATATGTATTACATTATATATATTCTGTCACACTATCAGTTCAGTGCCTTTATTGATTTTTTAACTACAAAATCAATTTCACAGTTTAAGCTTCCACAATAAATGTCATGTTTTAGGCAAATCAATTCTGGGAAATAAATAATGGTAAAATAACTGTACAGAGTACTGTGTAGAGTAATATGGGATATAGAATAAGATTCACCATATGGGGATCCTATTATGTTGTGGAGAGTCATGAGAAAGCATGCAAAACGTTTATTTCTTTCCAACACTTAACCACTTGACCTGTGGAAGGTTTTACCCCCTTCACGACCAGTGCATTTTGTCCTATTCAGCACTGTTCTACTTTAACTGGTGATTGCTTGGACATGCAACACTGTACCTAAATGAAATAATATTTTTTTCACACAAATAGAGCTTTCTTTTGGTGGTATTTGATCACCAATAGGTTTTTTTATTTTTTATTATATAAATGGAAAAAAACAACATTTTGAAAAAAACCCAAAAACAATATTTTCTACTTTCTGTTATATGACATATCCATAAAAAATCCAAAAATCCAAAAATCTAATTTCTTTGTAAATTTAGGCCAAAAATTATTTTGCTACATGTCTTTGGTAAAAAAAAATCTCAATAAGTATATATTAATTGGTTTGTGTAAAAGTTCTAGCATCTACAAATGATGGTATATATACTGGAATTCACACCGCTTTGAGGCAATACTAGTAATGGCAGTGATCAGCAACTGTGATAGTGTGGCAAGCAATCTGGTGCTAGCTGACGGTGACATTAATAGTGATACAAATACAGTGATCAGTGCTAATACTGTACACTATACTAATGGTACTGGCTGGGTAGAGGTTAACATCAAGGGACATTCAAAGGGTTATCTATGTAGTTAACCACTTCCCGCCCGGCCCATGTAGATAAATGGCCAGACGGGAGCGTTGCCGAAGTGGTTTGCCATTTATAAATGTCGCAATAGGAAGAAGGGTCAGCCGCACACCGGAGGATAGATGAATATAGTGTGTATTTATTGATCCATAGGACACACAAAACACGAGGACATGAATACAGGACCTGTTAACGCGGTTCACATGATCTTGTGCTTAATCATGTATTCACTGTACTGCTAGAGTGACAGTATGTTAAAAAAACATAAATAATAATATAAATAATTATAAATAATAATAACAAAAAATACAAAATGTAAAAAAAAGTTTGAAAAATTATAATTTTTGGTTATAAACTAATTTGGGGTTTGTTTGTTTTTATTAAAAAGATGCTGAATACATTTTGGCCAAGATTTATGAAGAAAGATTATTTATTTGCAAAATTATATAAGAAAAACACTTTTTTTAAAAAAATTTCTGGACTTTTCATTTATATAGCAAATGCTAAAAATTTCATATGGGTACAGTGTTGCATGACCCCGCTATTGTCATTCAAAGTGTGATAGCACTGAAAGCTGAAAATTGGTCTGGACTGGAAGGGGGTGAAAGTGTCGGACTTGAAGTGGTTAAAGAAGTGTAAGGTGTGTAAAATGTGCTTTTACTTACAGGTCTGCCTGTTTTTCTCCCTGCAAAGCAAGGAAAAGAAACATCCAAATTGCTGATCTGTGTACAGAGCCTTGTGTATTTCTAAACGCAGGGCTCTGTGGGGGAGGGGGGGGTCAAAAAACAGTGAAAAACGCTAAAAATTAGAATGCTGGAAAAAGCCTCTAAACGCTAATCCAAAAATGCTAAAAAAAGCTGAAAAACGCCCGCTTTTAATGTGACTTTACACAGCTAATGTTACCAGCGTTATCAAAACGTCAAGTGTGCATGAGGGCTAAAGGTGAATCTGAGACGTCCTGCACTCAGTCTTGTGTTGGGTCTCATTCAACCCAGAAGATTGAGGTCACCTAGTGATGGAAAGAAATGACTGTAGAGGACAACACTTAAGTGGAGATTTGTATTGCAGGCAGAGCAATACATTTTTTTTTAAATTTTGTTAAAGGGTTAGTTCATCTTTAGTAAAAAACTACCTATGCAGGTACGGGGTGTTTGTAGATAAAAAGAAGCTGTGCAGCTCTAATGTTGAAATAATGCCATTGCTATACGTGTAGGTAATTTATATACTTCCCAAAGCCCGACTGGAATACGCCCAGGACATCGCTAGGACGTTGCTAAGTGAGGCCTAGTCATTCCTGCTCTCCTCCACCATCGCAGGAGTGAGCTTTTTCTCTGATTCAAGCCCCCTCACTTGCTCTTTCTTTCCCCTGATGCAGTAGCTCTGAGCTCAGCGTTTTGGAGCTCACTCCTGTGATGGAGGAGGTGAACAGTAATCAGGGGTGTCAGACTGGTGGCCCTCCAGCTGTTGCAAAACTACAAGTCCCATCATGCCTCTGCCTTTGGCAGTCATGCTTGTAACTGTCAATCTTGCAATGCCTCATGGGACTTAGAGTTTGGCAACAGCTGGAGGCTGTCAGTTTGACACCGGTAAACTATAGGAACCCAACAAGAGAGTGTGGAGTGAGGAGAGATCAGGAGATAACAAGTCCCTTTTAAAGGGGAAGGCACGAGTTGACCGATCATAATTATAGGACAAAAAAGAAGGTGAGCACATAGCGTGGAAAGTGGTGGACACAAGGGTGATCATATTATTCACACGTGGTGTGAAGTACACACGCAATGGGACTTCGTATATATCACTGGTGCGTGTAGTGATGCTATATGTGTTAAAATGATGTAATGTGTATTTAGCACATGAGTAGATTTGATATTGTTTGGAATGAAGTATAGATTTTCCAGCATGTGGGATATAGTTCCTTTTTTTCATTTGCTGATTAGTGTTGATATATGTACACCATGGGGTTTTGCTGTGTATGTGCAGCACTGCAATATATGATTTTATATTAATAATTGGAGGTGCGTGGAATAATTGGTAGTGTAAGCAGCAGCAGAGACATAGCAATATAAGTGATGTCGATGATTGGGGAGTAGTGCTGTGGCCAGGGGCAGACTGACCATTTGAACACTCGGGCACTGCCCAAGGGCCCGGGGTCAGTAGGGGGCCCCATGAGATGCCCCTGGTACCTTACACTGGCTTTTTCATTGGCTTTTTTGGGTGTTGGTGAGGACATGGGGGACCCATGATCCCCTATTGCCCGGGGGCCCCATGAGTTGTCAGTCTGCCCCTGGCTGTGGCTGATGCTAAATTCATCAAAATCAGAAAAAAAATATCTTCCCAAATACTTTGTATGTTCTATATGACATTTGCCCGTACCGTGTAAACATAAAACACTTAATTAAATCACAGTTTCATCTTCTTTAACCTCCTTAGCGGTATTCCAGAGTGTAGCTCGGGGTAAAATGTCAGTACCAAAAGCAGTAACCCCGAGCTACACTTGGGCTTACCATGCGGCGTTGCTCAGGGAGTCCCTGCAGCACTTACCTTGTTCTTCGCTCCCACGATGTGTCCCCTGCAGCGTCCCCGGCCATCTCCTCTGGCTCTGGCCGATGCAGGCATCCGACTTCCGTGTTCCGGTCCCTGTGACGTCGGGACGTACGGGCGCCGGAACCGGCGGCAAATTTGAAATTTTTTAAAAATGTCATTTTTTTTTAAATGATTGTTACATAGTAAAACATTGCTGTTTCAATGCATTTCACATACATTTTGTCCCTACTGCTTTGTCCTGTGCCCTGCCTGCATTTTGACTGTTCTTTCTGCCTGGAAACTTAGAAAAGTCCATGGCGTCCAAAAAGCGTCCCTTTACGTCAAAAGCGGTTTTTAAACCAGCTAGAGAACAGCGATAGTAAATCAGAACCACTTGCAGAATTGAGTGATAATGATTCGTGGGGAAATTCGTCATCAGACACTGAAAACGATTTTGCGACTTTGCTCAGCGATGTGCGAATTTGCCTCTGTATTTCAAATTTCAGTGTTTTTGGTTTGATTATATTATTGAATTAAATTTATTAAGTGTTCTTGCAAGAACACTTATTGTTTTCTCACATATATATTCTTATTCTTATTATTATAGCCAATTTTACCACCCTAACTCCTCCCACAGTTTTTACATTACATAGACAAGTAATATACCGAAACGTGCGGATTGTTCCTGATTGGTGTGCTATTACTTTGTTACTTTTTTTGCCGCATGGTTCACAAAATATCGCCGTTTTTGTGGTGAAATTTGTCCCATAGGAATGAATGGCGCAACTAGAGTGGGAGCTGACAAAAGAGTGTGGAAGGAAAAATCAGGACATGATTTCTAAACTGCCATCACTCTGTCATTTTCAAGCCCACCTACACAAATCTTATATCAAAACGTTCAGCTAACCCTGTTGTCACTAAAAATGTCCACGGCTAAGCCATAGTCCTGATAGTTTTCACAATATGACCATTTGTTTGCAACTCACGCCGCCCTTTGACTTTCCTTGAAACTTCACTCACAGTCACCTGAAGTTTTAAGGGACATTTTTAAACTGCGACTGTGCCTTCATTTGCAATATTCCAGAGACATACTATACATCAAAATGTAGGTCTGGGTCTTGTGATTCTCACAATATAAAGCTCTTTGCTGTAGAATTTATACTTTTAAAACTACAAGTGTTTGAAGATGGCAACCGCCAGTGAAGTGAGCAAGTTGGAGCAGTGTGTGTTTATAAAAATTCCTCTCAGCTCAAATAGAGTGAGTTGCCATAGCAACCCAGCTGTGTCAGCAGAGTGACCAAGCCTACTACGCCCACTCTAGTTGTAGACTACTGCTGCAGGCAAGAACACTTCACACAATTTCCCCAGAAATTGTACATTTTCTAGTTATTATTATATTATTAAATTTTATGATTATTTATTAAATTATAATTTATGATTTCGTGTTTCAAATTTTATCCTAGCCGGGATGTTTACTAGACTCTTGTTCGGACAGATTTCAGTGTTTATTCCTAAAAAATTACAGCCTGCAATAAAAAACTACATATTTCCATGCAAAAAAAAGGTACCGCTTTCAGCACAAAAAATCGGAAAGAATCATACCGCCGAGGAGGTTAACAAATTAGTACTATTTAATTGCTAATACCTTGGTATTCAATGTTTGGATATTGCCCTATATATATATCTTTTTGTGAGTACTTTTTTTATTTTAAATTTATTACTGTCTAGTCCACCACAGCGATCTACGTCATCAAGGATGTCTTAAGCAGGCCATACATGGGTTGAATTCCGAACGATTTTTCGATCGAAAACATCATTCGTTCTGTAATCCGATGGTTCCACTAATGGTTTCGAAAATCAGTCATTTTTCACGAATTTTCCAGCATGCCCGATAAACAAAATGGGGAGGAACCAGGAAAATCGGCCAGTGCCATTGCCCCACTAACAGAGAGAAAATTGGCTGATTATTCTTAGGTCTGATTTTCAAATGAAAAATCGTTCAAAAATCGACCCATGTATGGCCGGCCTTATTGACTCCTGCGATATTGGTGTCATCAATCCTAAGACTTAACTGGCATCCTCCGCTTCTGGCTTTGTGTTATTTCAAAACCGGAAATGATGCGATTACAGGATGCTGTCTGCTTCTGGGTTCCCTGTTGTTAACAGGTTACCATAACAACAGGGTGGGAAGCTCTGCCAACACTGCCATTGCAATGGAAACCTGTTAACTACAATGTGCACTGTGCCGTGTCTTCACTGCGCAGGTATGAGACCTGGAGGTGCATGCTGAGTAGCCGGCTGCATGGAATCAAGGAAGTGTATGGGCACCAGCTTTATATGTCCACACAAGCAATGGCCGCCACCAGAATTTCGTGAGGAGCAGCTGCTACACAATTTAGGCAAGTAAAACGTGCACAGATATATAATGCAGTAGCCAAAGTAGATGAAGAACTTTGCAAGAATCCCAGATATGTTTTAATTTAGATTTTCACTTGAAGACTGTGGTTCCTCTCTAAAATGGAACTTCACTCTCTCAATCATCATTGACTAGTTTGAATCCTTATGCTGCTAGCATTAGTTAACCACTTCAAGTCCGGACACTTTTACCCCCTTCCTGTCCAGGCCAATTTTCAGCTTTCAGTGCTATCACACTTTGAATGACAATTGCGCGGTCATGCAACACTGTACCCATATGAATTTTTTAGCATTTTTTTGAGACAGATAAAGCTTTATTTTGGTGGTATTTATTCACCACTGGGATTTTTATTTTTTTTTTGCTATGTAAATTAAAAAGTCCAAACATTTTGAAAAAAAAGGGTTTTTCTTATAAAATTTTGCAAATAAATAGTATTTCATCATAAATCTTGGCCAAAATTTATTCTGTTATCTTTTTAGTAACACAAAAAAAAACCCAAATTAGTTTCTAACCAAAAATTATAATTTTTAAACATTTTTTTTAAATTTAAAAAAAAAAAAAATTATATTATTATTTATGGGTTTTTGTTTTTTTATTTTACTTACTGTCACCCTAGCAGTACAGTGTCACCATGGTGACACTGTACTACTTGTGGGGGTGATGTTTTTTTTTTTTTTTTTACATTGAT